TTTGACGCTTGCCAAACTTTTTTACACCCTGAATGGTTACGATATGTGAATGAGAAATATGTAATGCATATATTAGTAATATTATGTAAGCATAGCACTTGGATCGATATAGCACTTGGCATAGCACTTGAGTCGAAAATATAGTTCATATCGATATATATATTACGACGGCTACGGGATGTCGCAATGTGTATTTATATCCTCGAGTTTATTAAAATTTTAAAATTAAATCATTAGAATGTTAAAGGAAAAAATAATGAAATAGTTTGACCATATCACACTTTTATCGGAAAGATAATTTCTTCATGCATTAAAAAATTTCTCTCAGTCATCTTATAAGAACACGATCGGTTATTTTCTTCCGAATACAGACTGCAAAATTATTTGAAATAAAAAATTCAAAATCCGCGAGCTTTTATGAATTGACTAAAAGGATATTCAGTGATGTCTGTTGAGAAATAGAAACATCTATTCATGTGAAGTCGTTAAAAAAGTAGTAAATTTAACAACTGGAAATTCTGAAGATAACTTAAAATTCTTTAATCAAATTCAAAAGACAAGAAGCTTCAGTAAGGCTACAGTTTAAATCAATGAAAACTACTCTTCTGTACTAATGATAAGCTCTGTTAATGACGATTATGATATTAATAATAAATTTAAGAACATACTACTTCTAATGACCTTGATTTTAGAATCTTATACCACCAATGCAAAGATATTAAATAAAAAGAAAAAAGCAAAGTTGCATGAATCTCATAGGAATAACTAAATCAAAACAAATTAAGACATGCTATTAAATTAAATTTAGAGTCATCAGTCATTACGGTGACTTCCATAAATAAGGGTCTATAAATGGTTACGAAAGACATTTAAAAAAAGTTTCTGTTCCCTCTAAGAAAGTAAGCTAAAAATTTCTCTATTCAATTTCAGAGACATGCCACGTTTTTTTATTAGTTGTCAAAAATTTTAGGTTAAAAATGCCAACTACGATTAAAGTTCTAAGCGTTAAAAAAACCCAACTAAATATTGAGAAATACGACTAATTACTGAGAGACTAGAACCTTATGTCTAAAGCAAAAATATTACATTCAAAGCAAAAAAGTAAAGGTACATGAACCTCGTAAGAATAACTAAATCAAAACAGATTCATAGATGCCATTAAAAGAAATACAGGGTCATTAGTTCATGTGGTGTCTTTGATGAAAAGGGGTGAATAAAGGGCTGAGAAAGAGAACCAACAATTTCCTGGTCTATTTAGGAGGCAAGCAGCTGTCAGGAGAATGAGTATGCGAGTTCCGTCCATGCAAATCATAGTAATATGTCAAAAATGGAGGATATAAACAGGCTAAGTAGAATATTGGTTAGAAAGCATAGGAGCGGTCGCATAATTTTGATGGATGTTTTCAAAATAGAATGATGCAGATAGTTTATGGTTATGATCGTGCTCTCTATTGGACAAGGATAGATCCATATGGTTGAGGCAGCGAAATAAGAAGAAAAATTACGCTTTTATGTTGCTGTAATTGCCATAAAGACTCGCAGCGAAAAATATTTCTGTTGAGAAAAATAATAAAAGAATTTGAGTTGGGTCATTATGGTACATCAAATGTGTTATTAGATTCTATTTGTCACGGTGATAATTTCGGTTGAAAATTGGATTCAATTAGATGGAGTAGTATGGCGTGAAATGGGAAGGATTGATTTATTATAATGATGGGAATATTTAATAAAGGACAAAAATGAAAGTGCAAAAATATTCAGGAATAGAATAGTACTAAAATAGTTAAATTCAGCATCAAATTGGCTAGGAGAATATTTTTTTATATTTATTACAGCCATTAGTTCGCATTTAAATAAAGTAAGGATTCAATATTATGTTTTATTATTTAATAGTAGCATTAATATTTGGGATTGGTACTTACGAAGCTAATTTTACTCCTAGCACTTAGCACATTTCTAATCAATTGTTTTTAAAGTTTCAGCATCAGAAAATTTGCATCTTTGGAATTATTATGCTTTTTCTACGCCATTATGATTTTTCATAAATTTTTATCTTCCTTTTTTTCTCCCTTATCTAAATAATACTAACTGCAATTTAAAAAGTAGTCTGTTCGAAAGGAAAATAAACAAAATTTATACAGTCAAACCCCGCTATAGTGAACCTTCAAGAGACCGAAATTTCGATTCCCTATAACCAGGAGCTCACTATATCAGTACTGCAAACAATTTTGACTCATTTTTCCGAACTGCTCCCTTTTATTAAATAAATGACCAATAAAAAGAAATACAAAAATGATTAAAAAACAATATGTAGTAATAAAAAATGTGTTAACTTTTATTTTTTATTTCTTTTTGCTTTGCGTACAAAAAATTTAGGGGTGGCCTTTATTTAGGGATGGGAAACTGAGATAGAAGAAGCAAACAAGAAAAAAATGCTTATGGCTACATTCCACGCAATAGATGGTTTTGAAAATCGGCATATGTATTTTAGGTATAAATTTCAAAATTACTGAAAAATAAAGAAAAAAATCCATAGAAGACAGAAGAAATTTCATAATATCCAATTTCCTCTCTACTTTTGGTTCACTATATCTACAAAAAATAATATTACATGTGTATAGCAAGGCACGGGAACGAACATTTTGTTCACTATATCCGGGAGTTCACTATGAATCGTGTTCACTATAACAGGGTTCGACTGCAAAATAATTCACTTTACAAAAAAATTAAGAATCTTTTTTTAAATTAAATTAAAGAAAACATTAGGTCTTTTTCTTGGAAAATTTCAAAAACATATTTAACGATTTAACGTGATTTATTAAAATTTACGACTAATATCAATAGTTGCTGATTTTTTTCACTATTAAGAAACAAATAATAGCTTTCTCTAAAGGTTTCTGTCTGATTAAATGCTTCTAACAAAAAGTTTTGTGATTTTTTTGTTTCTTTCTACTCTTCTCTGAAAAAATATTTAAGTATTAATTTATTTGTTTTTATTTCTGCCTCGTGCAATGACGTAGGGATCCAGTGTGGACATGGTGCCAGAATGAACATCGTTTTCCTTTATTGGTCAAATTTTCTCCGTGAAATATCGCTGATTTGCAAAACTGGTATACATTACTGAGTGCAGTTACACAATAACACTGTGAATACTTCAATAGGTAGGTAAGTACTTTATTTACGTCGCACTAGAGCTGCACAATGGGCTATTGGCGACGATCTAGGAAACAACCATGAGAATGATCCGAAAACATGCCATTGCAATTTTGATCCTCTGCAAAGGGGATGGCTCCTCTGCTTTGGTAGCCCAATGACCTTCGCTCGAATTCGAGCATTTTACGGTAGAACAGTTTAAAGAGGACCAATACCGCGCTCCCTCCGTTCCCACGCAGACTTATCAAAGTTGTCACACACCCGCTTAGTGACCGCAGTCAGTGATGCTTGACTTCGGTGTTCTACTGGGAGCCGTGTCTTTACGATGGGACGAATATTTCAGTAGAAATTTGCAAAAGAAGGTTAATAAGGTACGAAAGTAAATTTCAGATTTTATTTTTACTCTCTTATTTGCATATTTTATTTACAAAAATTAAACGAAAGACGATCATATATCATAATTTAGGTGATTTTTACCTATTACAAAAATAACTTCTGCTCTGTCTGGTTTCAATTAACCAGGATTAGGCAAAAACAACAGATGTCTAAATGGAGCTAGTATGGACAAAGTAATTTAAAATTCAGTAAAAAATTTAGCAACAAAAAAAATTTTTTAATCCATTTTTTAAAGGTTTTAACAAAATTTTGAGATGTTTTATCACTTTTGCTAAATGATGCGTCAAAAAGAGAACAACGTTTTTAATAAATATTTATTTTTTGCCATACGTTAAATTAAATTAGAACATCAGTGAATGGTCTCGTCTTATATTTTTAGTGACTTGTTTACACTGCTCCAGTAAAGCTTTAAGTACATTGCTCCAGTTTTGTCCCTTTTAGCCATTTCATCATTAAATTAAGACTATGATTATTAATATTGATTCAATCTATAAGTGGTTCCAAGGTTTCAAATAAATCAAAATGAATAACGGTTTTTAAATGTACTTATGTACATTCAAAATATCTATCTCAGTGTAGTGAAATCTCTATAACAAATTAGTATTTTAACTCAAACAGTTCAATATATTTCCCCAATAAGGTTTAGATTGAAATTAATTTCCTTTTCTTTTGATATACCTTTGAAATAAACGACTAAGTTATCAGCTCTGTCCGCACCCGCCTCATAACTCGTGCGCACTAATCCCGTGCAGAGGAACTAGTGTGGACAAAAACAACCTATTTTTAAAAGAAATATTATGGAAAAATAAACAACTTTATAATTCCGTATATAAACCACAATACATGTCCAAATTATTGTTAACAAAAGATAACTTCATGAGTTAAAAATAATATTAAAAATGTTTTTTGACAAATTTGTAAAAAATATCTAACCTAGCCCCTATTGTATTTCATGAGTGCCTATTTATTTATTTTTAATTTAATTTTATTTTTTTCGTATTTTACTTTTTATTGAGTGAAACTTGCACGCCATTTCACTANATATATAATATTTTTTAGGAAAAAGTAAATAAATGTTCTTCTTGAAAAAGATACTAATTTTCACAAAAAATTCAAATATTTTAAATCGTTAAAATGAAGAATTAATACATTTTAATCGCATAGTAAATATTTTTGTTCTGAAGCAATTTCGTTCAATTTAAACAAAGAATCAATTTGCTTAAATTGTTTGCTAAGTGTGGAAAACATCGGAGAAAAAACTTTTTAAATTACATATTAAAAACTGCTGCAAATATCTGAAATAAGGGGATTTTCAGTAGAAAAATGTTTTGTAAGAAGCATCGAGATGATTTATAACATTCTACAGCTGAAAACTAAGCTTAATTATAGCTGAAAACTGAGTTCTACATCAAAACTATAAACATTTTCAAAGAATTAAAAACTTCACTCACCTGCATGAGTTGGAAAACTTGATGTAAGTGGTTTTACGAGGGTTCCTTGCTTGACAAAAGGCAATATTGGTGGCTTCAAATGCAAAAAAGATGGTGTGTAGATGGACTGATTTACTGAAGAAAAACCATCGTCTGTATAAAAACCGTTTCGTCCCATTACAGACAGTTGTCGGGCTTTGGGCAGGAACATCACTAAAAATACTATACTGGCAGTCAGGACAATACCAAATGCGAGGCATGGATCATGATGCTGTATTGATGAAACGCTGGATGCAACAATCCAAGCAACCCACAATGGAATACATATAGTGATGGCTATGCCGATGAACCGAGATTCGTGATGGTTTTCTGGAACTGTTCTAGCACGCACAGCTAGTATGCCAACCCCTAACATTAGTAGCATATTGTATGCTAATGAAGCTACAATGTCAGAGGATGGAGCTGCACATCTAGCATTGCAAGTTAGCTGGTCCACGATTACAAGAGAAGCTGGTCTGTAAATTAACCATTGCACTGCAATGACAATTTGGACTGCAACAGCGAAGAATAGAAGCAAACCTTGATATGCTGCACTCAGATATACACCAATATGTAAACTTAACAAGAAGACACATTTTACGAGAAGTGTGGCAAACACTATAACAGAAGCGATTCCAACTCCAGTCCTAGTTAAGGCGCACGTGAACCAGTTCGGTGTAGGAACAAAGGCAAATCCAACCAAAGAACTTAACAGGAGTCCAAGAAGAAGAATTTGCCCTAGAAACAGATGACGGCGACCACCGCAAGATTTATATAAAACGTAAACTTCAAATATCAAAATGGCAACAACATTCAAAGTACATATCACAACAAGAGGTATCACCCAGGACTCGGTCCTGTTTTGAAAAGAATGACTTGAGCTTGTGCAATTCTTTTCTAATGTGGAAAGAGTTGAGTTTGCAACTTGGAAAATCGTTGATAAACTATTTTCAAGGTAAGTCCGATTAGCCATGGAAGTTAAGAAAGTGAGGCGGCGTTGGCAAACAGCGAAATCTCGCTGCAGCTAAAAACACCGCCAATATTTTAGTCCTAGTTCCTTAGCTTGAATTTTGGTCACTGCCGTAGCACCATCAGTATTGAAGTTTTCGCTATGTTGAAGTTCGGTGTAATATAACTTTATTTACCTGAAAAAAATATTGCCATTAAAACGAATGAAATCAAGCTTTTAATTCAAAATTTGTTTCAGATAACTATTTAAAAACAATTTAAGTACAATAAAAAGCAATTTTGCATGAACTAAATTAAAAACAAAACTGTGATATCAGATTTCAATTTAAGAAAGGATTGTTGGAAAATTCTTTCACTATTAAAAGAAATAAATTAAGAAAATAAATTTTATTAAATACTTACCTCTTTTTATAAAAATTAATAAAAAATCTTTGATCTGATAATAAAATCCCTACTTTAATAGAATATACGCGTCAAGATGTAGGTAGTTGACTCGTTACGGATGCGACACTAAAAGCTTTGTATAAACGACGTACTGAAAAGGAGATTATGAAACAACCAACAGTGTAACATGTCACATCATCAATTACAAACTACCAACAAAAATAACGAATTAAACTAGAAAAATAATACACATTGACCCTGCAGAAAGGCTTGCTTTCTTGCACGCGAGTGAAGATGCCATAAAAAAAAACATTTTTAACGGCTGTAATTAACACAAACAACTTGTAATTCCGTACCTCAAAACCAGAATAACTTAAGTCACATTTGTCTTACGCCACTGTGGCCCTAAGGCACATAGATATCTAATCCACCTTAAAACACTGTGTTTGTGTGAGCCAAAATGGTGCAATGTAATTTAGAGTTATATTAATCTAAGGTATGAATTCTTTACCAGGAAAGAAAAACATAGGCAAAGGCTCTAGGCACATCTTCTGTGTCTTGATGTTGTCCCAAATGGTGAAGTTTTTGTTGCGATTACCATTATGCTTGTTGTAAAATGGAAAATAGATACCGGTGTCATTGCTTTGATCATCTTCAGTCCAGATTCCAAAGACAAATTACCTTTTAAGGATCAATCAACCTTGGATTTTTCTCTAAAGAAAAGGTAGAGCCTGACAACCGTGAACTTTCTTACTTTTTCTTTGGTGAAAACTGATTGATAAACGACTCGGATTGGGTTCGTAAAAGGATTTGTAATCGTACATAAAAGGATTTAGAAATCATATATCTTTTAGTTAAAAAAAACTTATCATTTCTTTATTTTTTATACTAAAGTAAAACTTTAATTTTCCTTGTTATTTTATTTTAACAAAATTTCATAATATGGTAGAAAATTTTGAAATCATGTAACTGCGAAAAGCCTACGAAACTCATAAGTTCTAATAATTAAGAAAAATTAAAGTGAAATATTAAATTTATTTTAACAAAATTTATTAACATTAAGAAGATTTTGAGATAGATCTTTAAATTAAATATATGCAATTTCTAAAACTGTATCAATTATTTAAAATTTAATAATTTACTTCAATTTAGAAGTTTAAATAGTTTTAAAAAATTACAGATAAACACTATTGCAAAAACTTTTACTTGTTCCATATTTTATTTTAACAAAATTTGATAATATAGAAGAAAAAAAATTTCACATATCCTAATTAAATATGGGTGTACGAAATTTAGTAGTTCAAACGGTTAAAAAAAATTTAAGGAGGAACACAATACGACATCTATTTATTTTATTTAAAAAAAATTTTAACATGGAAGAAGATTTAGAAATTGTTAAACGTTTTAATTAAACAAGAATATACAAAATTTAGAAGTTTAAGGGTTAAAAAAATTTTAACATAAATAGTTAAAACGTTCATTTTTTTTTTATTTTAACAAAATTTGATGACCTTGAAAGAGATTCAGAAATCGTATATCTTTGAATAAAATTGGGTACACAAAGTTTAAAATAATTTAGAAATTCAAATGGTTAAAAAATTGAAGAAAAAGTACAACAGTAAAACTATAATTATCTTAACTATTTGATTTATTTGCAGTGTAAAAAAAAAGTTTGGGGGTAATGGGGCACATTCTTAAAACTTAGAGACTTTTCTTAGAAAAACTACATGCATTGCTTTGAACTAATACAAAACTTAACAGAACCTATACAGAAAATTCTAATAAATCTGTATTGAGTACATTTAAAAAAATAGAAATATACAAAGTTTTAAAAATTTGATATTTTTTAATATTTGATATTGCTAAAAGTATTATGCTTTCATATTTAAATTTTTTGATTTATTTTGAATTTAAAAAAATGTTCATACTTTGATTTGTTTTCAGAATTTTTCAGTGTTTCAGAGCATAATATTGCTAAAAATATTATGCTCCCATATTTAAATTTTTTTGGTTTATTTTGAATTTAAAAAAATGTTCACACTTTGATTTGTTTTCAGAATTTTTTCTGTATTTATAAAAATTAAAAATGAACTTCATTAAAATTTTACATCTCTCCATTATACTATTTTTTTTTAAAAAATTATAAAACAAAATCTAAAAATATTTTACGAGTTTCCCCAGTATATAGATGTTCTTAAAAAACGTCATTAATTTTTTTCTATTATCCCTTGTAGGTTTTGAGATGCATCCTTATAAAATTGGAAGAAACGTTAAAAAATAATCATAGAGAAAAGAAAACCTCCTAGTAGCTAAGCATTTAAGTTCAAGATCAGTATGTTTCTTTCTTTTAATTCATAAAAAGTTAAAAACGATGATATGATTTTTTTTAACCAATGAGAAAGCCCCATTAACAAAAACTGTTTTGGGCCATTTCCTTTTTACGTTTTACAGAGGCATAAAAATTACGCTATTTTTCACAGACACCATTGTCCTAAACAATTTGAAAATGTTCATTTTTATTATATTGACCTAAACCCCTTAATTTATCTTTACTATAATCCAAATTTCGAAAACAAACATTAAAGAAAACAAAACCTTTTTATTTCTTTTTAAAATATCTCTAGACAAATAACTAGGTTTACTATTTATCTACCAAGCCATATTTTTAAGTAAATAAATTTTTCAAGGAAAATACACTTAAGATAACTCAAGAACATTAAAAAACAAACATTTTTTTCTTTAAATTTCTTTTAAATTCAGGACAAAAAAATCATTCGACATTTTTAAATAAAAATGCTTTCCAGCGAATGTTTTTTTCTTCGCGTAATTCCCTCTGTTTGTCACGATTTCAAATCCATCTTGATAACTGTCACTGACCTTAATATTGCACACCTGAGTGGTTGGCACTGAGGGAAAAAAATTAAATAAACGACGCCTTCCAAAATGCAGTGTAAACAGATTTGTTTAAGAATTGAATCCAAGTTCGCAAATGCAGTTTGGGTCAATAACAGACAGTTTGGAGTGCAAAATAAAAACGGACTGTCCAGAATAAGTTTTGATCTATTGATTGGACCTTCACGTTTCAGGACTCAATGTTTAGGGTTCAAAGGGGTGACCTCAAATATGCTAATTAGTGTAACTATTGAAGTTACGAAATCAAAAGCAAAAACATACATTTTCTGAAAAAACATATACTTTTTAACAAAACTCGAATCCTGACCTTCAAAATAGAGAAAATTTCAAAAAAACTTGAATCATGAATTGGGGAGCTGGGAAGCTACATATATTTTGCGATAATCCCTAAAAGTAGCCAAGCACTGTCACCTCCGTAAATGGAGTAAATTACGATAACATAAACTAATTGAAGAGAGCTATGCCTAATTTTCCTTCGTTGCTAAGCAACCAAATTAAGACAGTGAAAAAGAATTAAACAAAAACTGAAAGTTTTTCATTCAAATTTTTATGATAGCTCATAAAAGTATATTTATTAATAGAAAATAGAAAAATGACTGAAAATTTCTAGGGAATAGACATTTTATGGGCTGGTTTCTGACCGAAAGCAAAGAATGTTTTTAATCTTCTTTGAAAATAAAATTTGAATCGATTAACTATTCGTATCTTCCATGATTTTAAAATTTGAACACGTGAACTTTTATGTGACATTGCATGCGCCTTTTACATTGTTTTTACTTTATTTATATGAGTACCACTTCATTATTATGTTTTTACTTCTGTATATATATTTCAATGACTATATTTTTCAGCAGAAAATAGATTTCTTTGAAAAATATGGCGAATGACTATATTCTAACCATTATTATAGCTATATTCTCAGAAATGTGATAAAACAAGTATTTTTTTAGCAATAAATATATTTCTTAATGAATTCTGCGTATATTTATTCTAGTATTTTCTTAGTAGCAAGTATATTTATTCAGGTATATATACTTGGGTGTTCCAAGTTGCTCAGCAGATGGAAGTTTTGCTACATTGCTCCCCGCTTTGTTGAACAGTTTAAAAGAGACCTGGCGCAGAGCATACATTTCTTAGCAATAAAATAGAATCCCCGTGGGTTTTTGGATGAAAGTTTTGCTGTAGAAGAAATAAGCAGGACGCGCAAGGAGCAAGGTGTCAAGTTCTTACGCAAACAGCGTAGCCTGAGGGTAATAGAGTCTAGAAAGAACTGCAGTTAAATAAAAATCTGTTAGTATTGCGAGAGAACGATTTTAGGGTCACGCCTTTTGGGTTAAATTTTTTTTTCATCGTCTGCAGTTTTGACTTTGGCAGACATTTAATAAGAATATATAGAGTGTTAGAAATTTTGGTGCACGTACACCCATATTATCGTTCAAGTTTTTTGCAATTTTTATGCGATCGTAAGTTGAGCTGTTTCAACGTACATTTTAAATTTGATTGCACGATACTATGGTTAAATTCAAACAGAAACAAGGTTCAATTTAACAGGAATATTATTATTCGATACAGTACCTATATAATAGATTAAGGCCGATATTACTGCTAAAGTTACCGATATTATTATTGTAAAGGCACCGATATTGAGGTTCAAGGTACCGATATTATGGTTCAGCATTGAACCAATTTTTCTACATCTAAAATTCGGTTAAATAAACTATTTTTGTCTCTTTTTAACAATTGAACAATGGAAACAAAGTGAAAGCAGTTTTTTTTTTCTTTTTTTAATCTCTTTAATTTTAAGTTCCTTTCTAAAAAAAATTATCAACAACAGTGAAGGCCCAGGTGATAAAATGTTCACAATCCAATTTATATTAAG